AGTGCAAGCTTTGAAATATACCTGTTTAAATTTTGAATTTTTGATCCAGATAATAAATAATGGTTTACTATCATATTTTTAAATTAACCTTAAAAAACTTTAAAAGTGACTTTTGCTTTGTCATAGCTAGTAAATATATTATTTACTTGATAAATAAAATATGCAGTAAATATGTACCTAACCATGATGTATCTTATCACAAGAAGTGAGAGCTAAGGCATAGCTTACTATGAGAATTTAATCATTATAAGTGTTTTGAAACTTTGAGATAAAATTATAAAAATATAAATATCATTTTCTAGGAAAAGATAAAGAAAGGACCCTAAAATATACCTGTTAGATGAAGGCCACAAAATTCACTGTTAAATACTACTATGCTCTGAAAAGATTTACTCTGCTTAACAGATTTTGAAACACTTCAAAAGACAAGTCTTCACCAAGTTTTTATATGTCAGTAAATATTGAGGTCTGGTGAGGACTACAGAAAAAACTCAGCCAAACTGTCACATAAGGGAAATAAATGTAAAACTGTTTCTATCAAATGTTCTCAGTTCCAGGGCAAATTTCTTTCTCAAGTAAATTCCATAGAAAGCTTCATCAATGCCCGTAATGATCATGTCTTCCTTGATAATAAAATGCCCCAGTCAGACTCCAAAGATTTTATTTCACACATTTCTTAAAAAATACTCATCCCTTAAAATTTTGGCCATATTTGAAAATTATTAATAAGAAAGAAAAATCCCATCTGTATTTTTCTCTCTAAAGTATTTCTTCAAATGAGAACCAAGACCTGTCATGTAAAGGTACAAGATCCCAATAATGAATGTAACTGTACTGTATACCTAAAATGTACCAATAAACTCAATTTTTTTTAAAAAAAGTATTTTTCAAACTTTTCCAAAAAAAAAGACTGACTTTTGAAGAAGTTGTATCTTTTTTGGTACCAGGAATTGACCTCGGGTCCTTGCGCTTGTAAGGCAGGCCACTGAACCGCTGAGCTAAATCCCTGGCTGAAGAAGTTTTATTTTAATGAGTAGTCAATTTCCCCCACTCATCTTGTTTAGTTTGCTTATTAAAAAGGCATATATCACTGTAGCAAAATTACAGTCTATAAGCAGCAGAAATATATCAGATTTTAAAGTTATATTGCCAAACCAAGAAACAAAAATTTATGCAGACAAGAAGAATGCAGAATTCAGTGGCTTTAATAAAGTCTCTTTATGAGGGAATCTCAGGTAAGAATACTAAATTATTTATTGCACTTTTTACCAGATTCCTCTTGTTGATTAACACCAATAAAAATATAAGCCATTTAAAGTATATAAATACCTTAAATACATTATGAAGTTAACAAATAATATAGAGAGAGCTGAAAGACCCTAGTTCACATTCAAATTCTATAATTTATTGATTCTGTATCATTGAGTGTTTGACTAAAGCACCGACTGAATACTTAAGTAGGATATGAAGACCTGGAAAGAGTTTCTTTGGAATAAGACTTGCAATCAGCAGTTCAGTTTAGTTCTATCAAATTTACTATCTACCAGTCATGAAAGGAAAGGTATTGAGTACATAGTTTAGAATATTCACGTCATGAAAAGAATGAATGAAGCTGGTAACATAAATGTGACATTATGATGGAAAAGAAATGGAGAAAAAAGATAGGAATGGAAACAGACAGAAAGAAAGCATTTCAAGAACACTAAAAGCAATACTGAGACATCAAGTAGAATACAACTAGAGTAATTACCATTTAATCTGACAGTTTAGAGAGCATGGTCACAATGGAGGGGTTCAGATGAAAACCTACTTACTTCAGGCTGATGAGAAAATGAAAAGTGATAAAGAGGAGACACTGATTATACTTATCAAATGCTTGCTTTTGAAGTTCAGGTGGGATGTGGGCTCCTGTGAGGGTATTTTAAAGACATTTGCCACTTGTGACATAGAAAGCTCTTGGCCATATTGTTATGCTGATAAGGAAGAATAGGGAAGGTGGAAGAGAGGATTCAGAAAAGAGGAAGGTAACTGGAAAGGCAAAGATCTTGAGATATTAGCAGATAATGGAATCCAGAAGAGAATGGAAATGATGGATTTTGATAGTAAGAGGGCCATCTCCTTCATATTGATAAGAGTAAAGCCTTCCCCATGATTCTATGGGAGATCTGTGGACAACTGTTAGCTTTCATGGTATTCTGCATCCAGTTTTTGATGATGTTAGAGACAAGATGGGATAAAGGCGGAATTGGGAGAAATGATGGGATTTGGAAGAAAAAGAAAAAGTATTAAAAACTCATTTTGAAGACAATGAAAGCATAATCTGGCAGTACAGCATCTTCCCACCATTATGTGAGAGCTTGTTCCTGATTTTATAATAAAGTCAGTTAGCATGGTTGTGCTTTTGGAACATAGAAAAACCAATCTGCTAAAGTATAGGTAAAGAAAAATGCTAGATAAAGAAAAATGAAGACCTCCCAAATTTAGAGATCCAATCCAAAAATGGGCATCTGAAATGAACAGACATTTATCAGACGAAGTTGAAATAGCAAATAAACATATGAAAAAATGTTCAACATCACTGATCATTTGAGAGATAGATGCAAATGAAAGCAATGTTGAGATTCCACCTCACTTCAGAAAGAATGGCTGCTATCATTAAATCAACCAATAACAAATGCTGGTGGGACTGTGGGGAAAAAGGATCCCTTCTCCATTGTTGGTGAGAGTGTAGACTTGTGCAACCACTGTGGAAATCAGTATGGAGAGACATCAAAGAACTAGGATCAGAGGACCTATGTGACTTCCCAAAAGAATGAACATAATCATACCACAGCAATATATGTGTACCCATGTTCATAGCAGTTTGTTATAGCTAAAACTCAGAAACAGCCCAGCTGCCCATCAATTGGAGACTGGATAAAGAAAATGTGGTTTTTTTCCTCTCTCTCTAAAATGGAGTACTACTCAGCCATAAAGAATTAGACATTAGAGACATTTATGGCTAAATAGATGCACATTGAGGCGATACTCTTAAATGAAATACATAGTACAAACATAGTAAGTACCAAACAGTTTCTCTGGTGTGAGAAACTGAAAGTATAAATAAGGATCAAAATACATAATAGATAATGTGAAATAGGAAGAAAGGTCCAAAGGAGAAGGGGAAGTGGGAGGGATACAGAAAGAAGGGAAAGGAATAAATATGAGAAAAGGAAAAAATGGAAACAGTTTTTGTAAATAGGAAGGAGTGGAGGGATTGAAGGGAGGGTAGGGAAATAGGGGAAAAAAGAAAGAATCAAGATATATTATGTAAAGGTAGAAATCTCCAATGATGAATGTCATTATATCGTATACCTAAAATGTTCCAATAAAATTAAGAAAAAAAAGAAAAAAATGAAGACACTAACAGAAGATAGAGTCTAAATACAAAGAAGAAAATAAATTGTTGATGTAATAAGTTCACTTAAGCAGGAATGAAAAAAATCTGACATAAAAAATTGAAAATAATTCTGTCATTTGATAAAGGAGAGAAGAAGTAGAGCTGAGTGGGGATGGAAAGTCCTAAGATAGAAAACACAACTCGAGGGAATTTGTAGCAGAACTAAGCTTATTAAAGCAGGAAATGTTTTCCTGAACTCGTAGGTCAGATGAGAGAAAAGGAAGTAGCTGGAGTAGCAGGTACAGCCAATAGCTTGGTATATTAACATTTTAATATAGTCCTAATAAAGGATATATTCAATTATGTGACTGAGCCTAGGTAAGGAATAAGCTAAGGGCAGAGGGCATTAAGCAAAATTGTTTGAAGAGAAGAGGTAGAGGAATAAGTCAATTGAAAAGAAGCTGAAGGAGTGAGCTGCTTTTAATGACACGTGGTGAACGGCAGTGAAGGCAGGGCCCGTGTGGAAGGCACACATTCAAGCACCGAAGGAGTCACACTTGGTATCGCAACCTAGAAGTGCTCTTTCTACAGATGCTTTCCTTCACTATGGCCAGTTTCTTTTCCTTGAGCTTTACGCTGAGATCTGTGATGTTTAATAAGTGTCGCACAGCAGAAGTGATAGAGAAAGGGAGATGGTTCAAAAAGAATAGCTACAGGCTCGAAGTCTCAACTCAGAGTCCCGAGACTTCCGCCTCCCCCACTGTGACGATGAATCTCGACTGTCAACTTGGTTGAATCGATAAACACTTTGGAAATTTGTAAAGCACCCTTCTGGGTGTGCCTGTGGGGTATTTCCAGAGACACACGAGATGTGGGTCAGCAAACTGAGCCAGGAAGTCCTACACTGAGTGTGAGCCGCACCGTTTTACAGGTGAGGCCCCGGATGGAACACACTGGACAAAGAGGAAGCGCACGGAACGGCCTCTCCTTCCCTTTGCTTCCGGGCCTCCACAAAGGAAGCTGCTCTACGCTGCCGTGCTCTTTTCCTCACCACAGGCCCAGGAACTGTAGAAGCCGTCAACCATGGACCTAAACTCACAGAATCAGAAGCCAATGCAGAGCTTTCCTTTCTAAATTGGTTTTGTCACAGTTATTCAAGCTGACTTACACTTACACTACGGATCATAAGCACATCATTTACTTTGTTCTTTATCCTTTTCAAAAATTTCCTTTCCTCCTCTTTTCCTTCTCTTTTCTGTTAGGATTGAACTCAGGGCCTTGGCGAGTGTAGGCAAGCGCTGTGCTATGGAGCTCCAACCTCTGCATGCACACCGTCTTCTGTCTTATTCTGAGCTCCTGTTCCCTCAGCTGTAGAATGAAGGGAGGTGGATTTCTCAGTATGCACAGCCACGCTACTCACTGGACAATATTCTCGGGAGCTGTTGCTCTGGCAGGACGTTCAGTGTTGTTCTTTCATTTATCACCTTGCTTAATACTTACAAAATGCAAAGGAGTACGAGCTGCTTAAAGAAGTGTGGTGAATGGCAGTGAAGAAAGCAGGAGAAGGGCCAGTGTGGAACGCATCAAGCACAGTGCCCAAGCTGCAGGTGTTGCCGCTCACTGTAACACTGTTTTCCATTAGCTCCCAGCTCAAAGGCCGGGTGGCAGACACGAGTGAAAGATCCCACTGAGTTCACACAGCGATGGCCACAGTGAGCAAGTCCTTCAGTACGTTCGTTTATATCTGCAGAAAGAGAGGCAGCAACTATATATTAGCAGCTCCAATGAAGACATAGCTGCAAGCTATAAAAGCAAACTAAATCTCCCCCTACATTTAATCTCGGACATTCTATAAGACTAGAGGCTCCATCTTCTTTGTGGGAAACGATCATTTGTAAATAAACCAATTGCTTATAACATTACCTCTAATTTTGGGTCTGATGCTAATAAACACTTCTTTCTATGATAGCCTACTTCCATCTATTAAATGAAAATAAAATAAAAAGCAGGTCTAATTTACCCTTAGAAATAGAGGTAGAATAATGGCATTTTTTCTTTAGGAATATGTATTACATCCTTAATCAAAAATAGTTTCTCTCTGATTTTAAATAGACAGTACATGTGGCCACAGACAGGCAGATTTTTGGTCTATCTGTAGCATCAAAGGTTTGCCGTATGTGTGACTATTACAAGACACATAACATAACACTGGTATCCTCTCTTCTCCTGAAAACGATGGCCAGTTACATTTAGTGTTACTCCAGTTTCATGGCCCAGTCTTCTCTGGTCCTTCCTTTTCATTAGATGAGTTTCATCATCATTCTTTTGACTAATGTTTCCTCTTCATACTGTCCCGCATGTCATCCAAACTAGAACTTTTAGGAGATCCTCATTCTGCTAATGTATTTGCAAAACTCTAAGTACAGCAGTAGTTTTTGAGATAGATTTTGTATCTCAGATTAAAATAGATGACATATTAAAATAGATGTTTAAAAGAGATAATAAAAGATATATATATATAT